AGTGGTTTTCCGTCCCCCTCCGCTCACAGAGGGGATTATTTTGTATTCCGCCTTATTTGTTATAGTATTATATTGCTGTTATTTTGTTTGTTTGTTTGTTTGTTTGTTTGTTATTTTTTGTTTGTTGTTCTAATTCTTGAATGAACTATCCCGCCGCAAACGGATTCCTGATTCATTTCGCCACTAGAAGGCATCTTTTCGCATTCTGCCGCACAGGGAATCTTTGTGTATTCGGCCACGAAGGGATTTCTTCTGTCTTCCGCCGCAGCGGGGCCTTTTTTGCAATCTGACACAAAAGGGGATCCTTTTGCATTTAGCTGCGCCGAGACTCATTTTGCACTCCGCCATCAAGTGACTTTGCGTATTGCGAGAGCATTCCGTTTGTGGTGAGATGATACAGGGGCATGTAAGCGGAATGGTTTCTTTCTAGTGGAACACATTGATTTTCGTGTGGTGGATTACAGAAAGATGTCTCTCGCTATCTCCTTTGAGAATTAACGCTCGAACCGCCCAGGCCTGTATCGTGCCTGGTGCGGAAGGAGCAAGACCAGGACGAGGAGGAGGAGGAGGATGCTGAGGAGGGGGGGGAGGAGGAGGAGGCGGAAGCGGAGGAGGAGGAGGAGGAGGAGGAGGAGGAGGAGGAGGAGGACGAGGAGGACGAGGAGGAAAACGAGGAGGAGGAGAATGAGGAAGAGGAGGATGAGGAAGAAGAGGATGAGGACGAGCGCGAGGAGGAGGAGCAGGAGGAGGAGGAGGAGGAGGAGAAGGAGGAGGAGGACGAGGAGGAGGGGGAGGATGGGCATACGATCATCATTTGCGCTCTTTGCTCTGGAGCGCCCCCAGTGGGATCCAGCCCGGCCGCGCCCCGCGACGGATGGCCCACTCTTATCCCCCCTGGGGATCACTCTGTGATGCCACGGTCGCGCGTGCCCTACACAAGAAAGGGCTCGGGCCCGGGAACCCGAAAACGGAGAGACACCTCCATGGGACTCATCCCCTCCAGGGTCGGGAGGGAGGGATTGAGGGAGGAGGACGCAGGCGCTCCTGAGCAAAGAGCGAAAATCACGATCGTGTTCCAATCCTCCTGGTCCCGTTCCTCCACCTCCTCCTCCTCCTCTTCCTCCTCCTCGAGCGAGCGTGGGACGCCCTTCGGCACCCCTGGTCATCTCAGGCCGCCGGGCGGCACCGCACTGGGCGCAGATGCTGCAGTACAGCAGTACATCATGTCGGTGGACACAGGCGCGATCACTGCGCCCAGCGAGCGGCTGCAGCAGCGCTGGAGGGCAGCCTTGTGCGCGGCCAATGCCGCGGTGCGACGCGAGCTCGTCGCGGCAGCAGGCTGTCGCCGCAAGCCCCGCCTGCAGCGAACTCACGCAGACGCCGCTGCCCAGGTGCTGTTCCCAGAAGGCTTCCACTCCACCGTTCGCCGCCGTATTCGGGCTTGGTGGCCGGACCAGACGGTCCCTGCCGACCTCCGCCAGAGGTGGCTTCGTCTCAAAGCCCAGCTCGCGGTGGCTGCCCAGGGCATGTGCTAGGCGATCCTGCGCACGCTCGCCGGCGCCTGGCCAACGTCCTACCGGATGCACGTGGGCCAACCCCGTCTGCGTGCCGCTGGCGCTGCGAGGACGGCACGGACCAGATTTCGCATTACTTGCAGTGCCATGGTGCGTGGTGGTGTGTTTGTGTGTGTGTGTGTGTGTGTGTGTGTGTGTGTTTGTGTGTGTGTGTGTTTGTGTGTGTGTGTGTGTGTGTGCGTCTCCCCTCGCGCACCATCGCCCATGCGTGCCCTCTGCACTGACTCGGCCTGGGCTCGGCGGAGGACTACGCCTCGGATCCGCAGGGCGAAAATGGCCCCCGCCCGATGCAGCCAGGCCCGGAAGTGGCCCAGGCGCTGGCGCGCGCTGCTGCTCACCGCGTGCGGCTACCTCCGCTCTGCGTGGCATTGCAGCCACCAGGTTCGATGACCTACGCGGTCGGCACAGGGACACCTGAAGGTCACTGGCCCGGGGTGTCATCTTCTCGTGCAAGCTGGCGCAGTGACAGAGGACAGGGCCCTGGTGTGACGGGAGGCTCGCGCTGGGACGCGCCCGGGCACGTCGCTTCCTCTTCCTTCCTCCGAGGCAGCCTCCTCCGGACCATCCCAAGCACTACTTCTACACTTGCTGGCGCTGTGGTGCATGTAGCCCAGCGGCGCGCCTAGGCGAGCTGACCCCCTGAAGCTGCGGGCGCTCCTCCTCCTCCTCCTCCTCCTCCTCCTCCCTCTCCTCCTCCTCGTCCTCCTCCTCCTCCTCCTCGTCCTCCTCGTCCTCGGCGGCCGCAGAGGGGCCTCTGTGAGGAGGCCCCCCCCCGCGGGACGCGCCTGGGCGCCGCGAGGCGCGGCCGCGCGGCCGCGCGCTGCAGGTCGCCACCTCCCGACGTGTCAAGCTCCGCATCCTCCCAAAAAGCACGGCAGCTTGGCGTCGGGGTTGGGGACTGGCCGCTTTGGCCTCCGGGGCGACTTTCGAGCTTTTCCTCTCAGGGGCGGCGCGAGGCGCATCCGCGCGGCTGCGCGCTGCAGGTCGCCATCTCCCCACGTGCCAAGCTCTGAATCCTCGCAAACAGTTGATCTGCATCCTCGCAAACAGTTTAGCAGCTCGGACGTTTGTCGGCGCCTCTGGGCGGATGGCGGCATCGCGCCCTTCTTTGGCCTCAGCGCACTTCCTCCGCTGCCCTGTGGTCTTCTGCTTTTGGCTCTTGTCGGCGCCACCGCCTCTTGCTGTGGCGCGGCTGGGAGGTCGATCACTTCGTGGAGGACGCGCCCCTGATGTGATGGTGGGGCTCTACTCCAGATTTCGGAATAAAAGGGAGGGGGTCTGGACACTCCAAGACAAGCCATTTCAGACCCCCCCCCCGTGGGAGAACCCTCCAAAACATCGTCCCCAGACCCCCCCGGGCCCTCCAAGATGGCCTGGAAGAGACCCCCCCCCCCCGAAATGAGACCCCCCTCCCTTTACTACGAAATCTGGAGTAGCCGTAGAGATCAGGAGTTGGGGTGGGGTCTGGCCGCTTTGGCACCCCGGGCGACGCCCGGGGTGCCAAAGCGGCCAGACGCTTTTGGTTCTTGTCGGCGCCACCGCCTTTTGCCGTGGCGCGGCTGGGAGGCCGATCCCTTCGTGGAGGACGCGCCCCTGATGTGATTCGGGGGTGGAGAGAACCCCCAACAGTGACACGTCGATCAGTGAATTGTCCGTTTTCGGTTCTCGAGAGGGCGCCGTGGCCGTCCTTTTCCAGGCTGGCGCCCGCCAGGTTTGGGCTTCGGGTCGTTTTCACCAAACCACGCTTTACGAAAGGGGGGTCTGTCCATCCCCGAATGATGGGTCGGATGTCTCCCGGGGCTTCGAGCCACAGGCCTCCGAGGGGAAACGAAAATCCTCGAGGGAAAAGGAAGAGGCCTCCCATGCATTTCCCCGAGTGATGCTGGGACTGTAGCCGTAGGGATCAGGAGTTGGGGTGGGGCCTGGCCGCTCTGGCACCCCCGGGGCGACGCCCGGGCTTCTCCTCTCGGGGTCGGTCCCCGCGACCTCTCCCGGAGGCGCGCTCCGGCCAGGATCTCGGCGCGGATGCGGTCGAGGCGACGGGGGCCCTCCGGGAGGCACTCACACACATATAGCAAAACAAGCCAAATTCCTCCTCCTCCTCCTCCTCCTCTTCCTCCTCCTCCTCTCTCCCCTCCTCCTCCTCCTTCCCTCCTCCTCCTCTTTCTCCTCCTCCTCCTCCTCCTTCCTCCTCTCCTCCCTCGTCCTCCTCTCCTCCTCTCCTCCTCCTCCCCCTCCCTCCTCCTCCTCCTCCTCCTCTCCTCTCCTCCTACTTCCTACTTCTCCTTTCCCCTTCCCTCCTCCCCTCCTCCTCCTCATCCTTATCCTCATCTCATCCTCCTCCTCCCTCCCTCCTCCTCCTCCTCCTCCTCCTCCTCCCCTCCTTCCCGGTGACGGGTACGAGAGCGAGACAGCCAGCGAGATTTCGTCTGGCGACTGTAGATATGCACTGTGCTGTCAAAATTACTGTTCCACGTCACTTGGTAAGGACTCAGGCGCATTCTGATTAGTTAAGAGTTCAGGTTGGTATACCTACCGTATTTCGAATTCCGTTGCCAACAGCAGAGCTGAGGATCTTCGCTTTTGATGGTTCAAGAGGATCTCGCCCAACAACACGAATACATCATCAATGTTCACACTTATTTTCGAATGTCCATGTCGTCGCCCAATTCTCGACGGGTGCCCTGTAAGTCTTGTAGCCTTTCCAGCCCTATATAGCCACTCTGGGGACTGGTGATGAACCGCGATGTTATCCAGAAAGGCCTCAGCGTATACAAATGGCTATGCAAGCAAAGGATGTGCGGAGTGAAAAAGTGAAGGTGTGAAAGGGAGAGAGAGAGAGAGAGAGAGAGTATTCGCTGAGTACGGTCTCGTGTGCGCGGTCTGCTCACCTGATGGCGACACGCTTAGCTCCAGGCCCCCTCGGGCCCGAAGCTCCTCCTCCTCGTCCTCCTCCTCCTCCGCCCCCTCGGGTGGCTTGGGGCGGCACGATGGTGTCGTAATCTGAGCCCTACGGGGCGGACGCAGGTCGGGAAACCGTGTTGTAGGTGGCGAGCGAGCTGGCCCTGCGAGCTGGAGGTGGAGTTAGGAGTTTTGCTGCTGCGGTGGGCTGAAGACCCCCGTGACGGCACAGTGGCATGTGGCTGCAGTTGCTTCTCTTCTTCTCCCCTCCTCCTCCTTGGCTCGTTTCGTGGAGGCCGCCTGGGGACCGTGCCTGGTGGGAGGCATGGGGCGGCACCCAACGTGGTGTCGTTTCGTGGAGAGCTCGCGTGCAGTCTGTTGTTGCGCCACCTGCCGCTTGCTTGCGCTCCTTTGCCCCTTGGTGCAGGCCGTGCCAATGTGCACGTACGTCGTTTGCGTTCCACTGTGAGACTGGGGATTCATCCCGATGTCCCGATATCCCTCCTCCTCCTCCTCCTCCTTCAGGAGGGCGACGCAGGCCAGGAGCTGCGCGTGTCCGTGGCCCTGGAGCTCCGGGCCTCCGGCGCGCTGGCAGGCGCCCCGCGGGCTCCTGGCCCCGGGGGCGGGGCGGCCGCAGGGGGCGCGCGGGGCTCGGCTCGGCCTCGCGCGAGCGGCTGGCTCGGTGGGCCGTGGGCCAGCGCCGGGCGCAGCCCCCTGCAGGGTCGGGGTCCCCGTCGGTGCGGCGCCGATGCTTTTTTTTTTGGGTGTACAACAAAATTTCGAGATCTATATATATATATATATATGTGTATATCTGTATATATACATATCTATATATATATAGATATGTGAAAAGATCTAGGGGGCTGGTGTCGGGCTCCAGGGCCACCAAAGATCTTGGGCGGAGACCTGCTCCCGGGGAAGAGGGAAGGGGGGTCGCGGCCCTCAGGTCGATCGGTCCGGTTCGACGCCGATTCTGGCCGGCCTGATTGGATTCGATCCCGATATTGTCGGGACTTTCAGATCGATTGGTTTGGTTCGACACCGACTCTGGCCGGCCTGATTCGGTTCGATTCTGGTACTCCGCAGGAGGGACGAAAGCACACGGACACAAATAATCGTCGATTGCCCAGAACGTTTGGAACATATGGGAAGTGTAATGGGAGGAAGAGCATCCAGGAAATATGGCAAATGTAGGGAATCCTGGGTTTGGGGGAATCCGATATGGTAGGTCCATGTGGCGTTGGCGCGCCTGCGACGCTGGCGAAGGCATTCAAGGTTGAACTCTGCGGCACGGCAGCACCAAGGGACCTGGTAACGCCACTGGACCCGACGGAATTCAGCCTTGAACGATCGGGGCAGCGATCGATTCAAGGTTGAACGGTCGACGCAGTGTCAAAACCTTTACGCGTGCCCACGCCGCACGAAGTTAGTTTATTCCGACGGTCCGATGCGGCCCGATGCTCGCACGGCGCTGTTGTGCATCTTGGCGCAGCACGACGACCGACAGCAGTTCTTGTTCCGAGCATTTTCTTTGGGTGGAGGGCAGAGGGTGAAATCTGAAATGACGTTTCGATTGGTGTTCGATGCTTGAATCTTCAGAAGGTGAATCGCAAGGCGGATTGTGTCTCGAGGTGCAAAAGCCCATATGGATTTCACCCTGAGCCCTCCACCCTAAGAAAATGCCCAGTTGTTCATTTTGAACAGAGCCCGCTGTCGGTGTCGCCGCGGGCGTTGTCCGTTTGGGGCAGAAAGGTTGCCTGCCCACTGGCGGCCGGTGCTGGTTTCGGGCGGCATTTGCTGCTGGGCATCGCGCCCACCTCTTCCGTACCCGTCTCGGGCGCGGCAATCGTCTCCCGAGGCGTTGCTGTGACCTCGTCAGGGCTTCGCTGCGCACCAACGGGATCGGAGCCTTTGGCGATCCCGTGCTCGCCTCGCTCGCTTGTACGGGGGGGGGTGGGCGCTCGCTGGGCTGCTCCAGGGAAGCCTATTCTTTCGGGGCCCGTCTTCTTTGCCTCGTCATCATCAGCAACAGCATCGTCATCGTCATCGTCATCGTCATGGTCATCATCGTAATCATCATCACCACCATCATCATGCTCATCAGCATCATCATCATCATCATCACCATCATCGTCATCAACACCATCATCATCGTCATCATCATCATCATCTCCATCATCAATTTCATCACACTCATCATCACCACCACCATCACCATCACCATTACCACTAACATCACCATCACCATCACCATCACCTTCGCCATCCCTATTACCATCACCATCCCCATCACCATCATCATCGTCATCACTATCATCATCATCACCATCATCATCACCATCATCTCGATCAGCACCACCACCATCATCATCACCCTCACCACCACTGCCATTACCATCAGCATTATCAGTTTCATCACCAACATCATCACCATTAGCATCATCATCACCATCATCATCACCATCACTGCCATCATCATCACCATCATCATCAGCATCTCCATCAACTCTACCAGCATCATTACCATCATCATCACGATCCACCACCATCATCACCATCATCACCATGATCACCATCATCAGCATCACCATCACCATCGTTATCATCACCATCAGCATCATCACTACCATCATCATGATCACCACCACCTCGATCATCATATTATTATCACCACCAGCATCACCATCACCAGCAGCATCTTTTTTTCATCACCACCATCACCACCATCACCATCACCATCAGCATCATCAGCATCACCATCACCATCACCACCATCGTCAGCACCACCAAACTCATCATAATCAGCATCTCCATCACCGCCACCAGCATCATTACCATCACTATGATCACCGTCACCACCATCATCACCATCATCACCACCACCATCATCATCATCATCAGCAACATCATCATCACCATCATCATCACCATCACCATCACCATCACCACCGCCCGCACCATGACTATCACCATCACCATTAGCATCACCATCATCATCACCGCCGTCGCCACCACCACCATCATCATCATCACCATCATCATCATCACCATCATCATCATCACCACTACCACCACCACCACCACCACCATCATCATCATCATCATCATCATCATCATCATCATCATCATCCTCATCATTGTCCTACCGGCAATCCTCTCCTCGATAGCTCATCCGTCGGTGGCGCAGGCGCGCGGGCCGTGCACTGAGCGCATGAGAGGTGCGCCCAAATGTACACGTGGGGACAGTGCACCGCGGCGCCCGCTGGGGCCATATTTGGGTGTCCCAGTGGAGCGCAACAAATTATGCGAGGGGTTGGCCGCGAAGGGAGTGGAAGGAGCACAAAACGCGTGAGGGGTGCTCAGTGCACCACGGCGCCCACTGGGGTTTCAACTGGGGGTCCGAGTGGAGTGCGACGTATCAGCGAGCGGTGGGCAATGCAGCGGGGAAGGCGCGCGAAACGTGTGATGCGTGCGCCCAACTCCACCTGTGGCCAGTGTACCACAGTACCCGTTGTAGTAGGGGTCTCACCGGCGGACTGGCAAACATGTGATGCGGAAGGCCGCGCGGGGGGGAATGGGCACTACACCTATGAGGGGTGCGCCGAGACGTAGCTTGGGCCAGAATCGCACAGCGCCCGATGGGACTGTAGCTTTGGCCCCCCAGGGGAGCACGAGCAACACGTATGTGGTGGGTTGGACCGAGCGGGGGGGGGCGGAGGCGGAGGTGAGTGGAGGTGAAGGGAGGGGCGGGAGGAAGCGGGGCCCACGCTCTCTCTTTCTCCTCCTGCACACTATTTCTCCCTCACCTCTCTCTCTGTCTCTCCATCCTCGCTCTCTCTCCGCCACCGCCGCCGCCGTCGTCGCCGTCGTCCGCGCTGCCGCCGCCGTCGCCATCCTCGCCGTCGCCGTCGTTTCGCCGTCGTCGTCGTCGTCGTCGTCGTCGTCGTCGTCGTCGTCGTCGTGGCCGTCGTCGCTCGACCTCGTCCTCGTCCTTGTCCTCGTCGTCGCTGTCGTCGTCGTCGTCGTCGTCGTCATCACTGCCGCCGTCGTTGCCGCCGCCGTCGCCGTCGCCGTCGTCGTCGCCATTGCCGTCGCCGTCCCCGTCGCCGCCGTCGTCGTCGTCGCCGTCGTCGTCGCCGTCGCCGTCGTCGTTGTCGTCGCCGTCGTCGTCGCCGTCGCCGTCGTCGTCTTCGTCGCCGCCGTCGTCGTCGTCGTCGCCGTCGTCGTCGCCGTCGCCGTCGCCGTCGCCGTCGCCGTGGTCGTCGTCGCCGCCGCCGTCGCTGTTGTCGTCGTCGCCGTCGTTGCCGTCGTCGTCGTCGTCGTCGTCGTCGTCGTCGTCGTCGTCGTCGCCGCCGCCGTCGCTGTTGTCGTCGTCGCCGTCGTTGCCGTCCCGTCGTCGTCGTCGTCGTCGTCGTCGTCGTCGTCGTCGTCGTCGTCGTCGCCGTCTCGTCGTCGCCGCCTCCGTCGCCGTCGCCATCGCAATCGCCGTCGTCCTCGTCGTCGTCGACGTCGTCGTCGCCGTCGTCGTCGCCGTTGCCGCCGCCCTCGCCGTCGCCGTTGTCGCCACTGCCGCCTTCGTTGTTGTCGTCGTCGTCGCTGTCGCCGTCGCCGTCGCCGTCGCCGTTGTCGCCGTCGCCGCCGCCGTAGCCTCCGCCGCCGCAGTCGCCGTCGCCGAGGATGCCGCCGTCGTCGCCGTCACCGTCGCCGCCGCCGTCGTCGCCGTCGTCGTTGTCGTCGTTGTCGTCGTCGCCGTCGCCGTCGCCGTCGCCGCCGCCGTCGTCGTCGCCATTGCAGTCGCCGTCGCCGTCGCCGCCGTCGTCGTCGCCGTCGTCGCAGTCGCCGTCGTCGTCGTCGCTGTCGCCGCCGTCGCTGTCGTCGTCGTCGTCGCCGTCGTCGTCGTCGTCTCCCCGCCGCCGCCTCCGCCGTCGCCGCCGCCGTCGCCGCCACCGCCGCCGCCGCCGTCGTCGTCGTCGTGTCGTCAACCTTGTCGTCGTCGTCGCGTCGTCGTCGTCGTCGTCGTCGTCGTCGTCCGTCGCCGTCGCCGGTGTCATCGCCGTCGCCGTCGCCGTCGCTCCCGCCTCCGCCGTCGCTGTCGCCGTTGCCGTCTCTGCCGCCGCCGCGGTCGTCGTCGTCGCTGTCGTCGTCGTCGTCGTCGCCGCCGTTGCCGTCGCCGCCGCCGCCGCCGCCACCGTCGTCGTCGTCGTCGTCGTCGTCGTTGTCGTCATCGTCGCCGTCGTCGTCGCCGTCGTCGTCGTCGCCGTCGCCGCCGCCGTCGCCATCGCCGCCGCCGCCACCGCCGTCGTCGTCGTCGTCGTCGCCGTCGTCGTCGCCGTCGTCGTTGTCGCCTCGTCGTCGCCGTCGCCGTCGCCGTTTCCGTCGCCGTCGCCGTCGCCGCTGCCGTCACCATCGCCGTCGCTGGCGTCGTCGTCGACGTCGCCGTCGCCGTCGCCGTCGCCGTCGTCGTCGCCGTCGCCGTTCACCACCTGCCGCCACCGCCGCCGCCGTCGTCATCGCGTCGTCTGTCGCCGTCGTGGCCTTCGCCGTCGCCGTCCGCCGTCACCGTCGCCTCCGCCGCGCATCGCCATTGCCGTC